CTCTGATTGTGTTTGGTGCTGACAGAGGGTCCGGCCCAGCCCTGTGGGAGAACACACACTCATTCCATGAGAGCAGGGGGAAGGAAGTCGTCCAGCTTCACTCACACCCCCCCCCACACAATGTTTCGCATGTTTTACATGCACTCCTATCTACACAAACATAAATTTACCCCCCCCCAGCCTCAGAGATCCTTTCGTTTATTGCGTGAATTCTGATCTCAGGTGTAGTTTTAAGGCCTGTCCTCCGGGGGCAGTCATGGAGTCTGGGGTGTTCTGTACTCCTGTCCTCGAAACAAGTCCAGCATCGTCCTCCATCCTTTGGCCCCACGAATGTCCACGACCCAGAAGTTAGATTTTTTTTGTAATTTCATGAATTTAGTTCTTTTTTTTTTTTTACCGACGTTTGATTTTAATATTTTTGAGACGTAGGAAGCAGAAATAATCACTTGTATAAGAAATATATAAATATATACGTGTGTGTGTTTTTCCTCCGTACCTCTCTCTCCTGCATCCTCTCCCCCTCCTCCAAACCCCCCCTCCCTGGCCCCCTCCCCCGTCTTTCATATTCCAGGGAGAACACTTATGTTTATTCTCCCAAGTTCTGCTTCCTAACAAGGTAAAACCAGCACCGCGTCCACTCTCTCTCACTTTTACACCCAATATGGAAGTCCTCCTCCTCCTCCTCCTTCTCCTTCTTCTCCTTCTTCTTCTTCTCCCCCGCGGCTCTGGACCGTGTGTACTGCGGGTTCGTGTTTGAAGTACTGCAGTCCTGGACATTGTCCATTTGGACCAAGTGCTTATCGAGCGGTGGCAGCGGCGTTTGTTTGGACTTCACGTCCGCCGCTGCATTCCCTAGGACTCGCGTCACGTTTTGGCGGGTCACACGTTCTCTGTGTACATTTCCTGTCCAGCGGTGCATGTACTGCAAGAAGTACTGCAGTTCCTCAGCCATTATAATATTTTTATTATGACATATTATGGTCTGTTTTCCCTGGATTTTAATGTGTGTATATATGGAATACATACGTCTGCATGTACAGCAGGGGTGGCAAACATGCGGCCCGTGGACCAAAACCAGCCTGCCGTGGGGTTCAACCCGGCCCGCTTGATGAATTTTGAAAGTGAAAAAAATGCACAAACCAGTCCAGTTTGTGGAGTTCCATAGTATAGTGGGTAGCTAGCCTGCCTCGCACGCTGAGAGTCATGGGTTTGATCCCCAGAGGAACAACATACTTGGCGCCTCCAAGGGGCCGCCTGTTGCAGCACATCTGTCGTTAACTCGTTGTCCAGTATGGGGTCAAAAAAGTTCAATTTTTTTTTTATAACACGAATATGGGGTCAAAAAAGTTCCGATTTTTATTTTTTATAATCCAACATTGATGTCACTTTGTGATTTGATGTCATCAGAGAGAAGGAGGGGTCACTGAGGTCAAAAAGGTCACTGACCCCTGCTCTAAGATTCGTCCTTGTTTTTTCCCATGATTTTTTTTTTTCTCAGCTCGTTCCTTTCCTTCAGTTCCTGCCTCGTTTGAGAACGTCTAATTAAGAAGTCGTTCCGTCGTTAAATGTTCCTCCTAATGCAAAAATAGTTCTGCCGGCGCCGAAATAGAAACGGAACTTTTCACGATATAATTACACATTAACTCCCTGAACGCAGTACTCTTCACTCTCTGTAGTACATGTACACGTGCAGTACACAGTCATTCAGGTTCAGAGGGAAAACAGTTCTCTGTTCCTGTGGTGTCGTCGGACCAGGGGAACCTGGACCAGAGGGGCGGAGAACAGCACGTGACTCAGCAGCGCCCCCTGGTGTGTGATGTCACTGGACAAACTAGTTCTTATTGGTCCTACAAGTATGAGATATTGGAACCAGTGAACTCTCTGCCTGGAGTTGGTGGACCACACATGGTTCTGACCCATGTTTTTCAGTTAACACTTGGCTTCAAACCAATGACCTTTTTACTGTCAGGCAAGAGCAGAAACCGACGTTCCACCGCGCGGCCCTTTTTTGATTTGCGCTTCGACTAGATGACGGACAGACGGACGGATGGATGGACACAGATGAACATTCACACACACATACACACTTTAGTAGCTCCTGGGGACTGGTATCTGGGCCCGGAGCGTTCCATCTGACACCAACTGTGAAGAATGTGGCCGCAGGCAGGAAGATGAAGAAGTCGTTACATAAGATGCAGCGTGTTCCAGTACAAGCACAACGTCCTCACTTTATTTGGTGAAGCGTGTCTGAGCACACGCTCTGTCGTCGTCCTCCGCGATGTGACTGTTTACAGACCAGGTTCTGTTTGAATCCACCGGGGGGCGGAGTCGCCCAAATTCAGCAGAGTTTTTTTCTATCGTTTGCTGGTCCTCTCGCGACCTTCCAAACTACCAACTACCATGACCCCCCCTTGACCCCCTCCCCACCACCCAGTGTGCCCAGGTGATGGAGTTGTGTGTGTTTGACTGTGTCTGTGTTTGTGAACTAAGTGGACAAAATTACTTATAAATGGAATCACATGGGAGTGAAGTGTGACAAATTGTGCTCCAAGTTGTGGGATGTGGTCGGATGTTTGGCCACAGCAGAGACACTCACACCTGTCCTGAGTGTCCTGAGAGGTCAGAGGTCAGACTAGTCAACGAGAGCCAGAGGAAAACCACATGGTTGACACCTGGCGTGACCGTGTTTCACGCCGTCTTTTCTGCTCTTCAGGACCAGGATCCAAACTGTGATGTGTTTCAAATCCATTTCTCTGCTAATTGTACACACTGTGAAGCTCGTTAACATTTTTTTTCTTTTTTCTTTTTCTTTTTCTAGTCTGTCGACTCGCCTGCCACAGGAAATGTGAGGCCAAGGTAAGACTGGAGGCTTTTATTCACTGGTATTTGCCTGTGCTGTGTTTACGTTTGGGTGATGTGGATCTGAAGAATGTCCAAACAAGTGGCCTCAGTGTCAGAAGGTGTTTCTATTGGCTGAGGTCACATCTGAGCCGCTGGACGCGGGCTAAAAATAGATGGAATTATCTGGGAGGAAAAGAAATTACAGTCGCAGCGGAAGGAAGTTTGATGTGGAGCTCCTTCAGCATCAGTCTTCATCAGAGCCACCGTACCACGGGTGTCACAGTCACCTTGGGTCACCTGTCCCATACATCCTAATTAGACGTCAGGTGGGCCGGACTGGTCCAATCACAACAGAATTAACTATAAATAATGAAAAGTCATCCTTTTTCCCCGTTTGTTTTCATGAAACCCCCAGCGAGCCGGTTTTGGTCCACTGGCAGTATGTTGGACACCCCTGCTCTAGATTTTTTATTTCATTGAGAATTGTCACGCATTCTTCTCATCATGTGAAAGGTCAAAGGTCACTGATTGACCTCCAGTAGTAAGGTGTTTGACTTGATGATTTTACAGGTTTCCAATTATTAATTATATAACGTAAAAAAATATGCTTGATATTTTTTAAGTATCTGAGAGTAGACGAGTTGTACTTCTTAGTTTTCAGGGTTTTCTCTGGAAGAAAATAATAATGAATATTCTGTGTATTCGTGGTACAGCTGGCGTGTTGTTGTTGTTGTTGTTGTTGTCTGACTGTAGTCACAGAAGTTCTGACGTCATCTCAATCTCCAGAACTGTTTCCAGGAACGTTTACTGTTTTCATTTCATTCCTGTTCGGGAAGAAAACCTGTCAGAGACAGACGGGGTCAAAGGTCGTTGTCTAGTCCGCATTGTCTCCAGCTGACTGCTTTGAAGTTAAGTCAATTTACAGTCACAGGACACAACACGTGCTCACCCCCCCCCCCCCCCCCCCCCCCTAATGTGTGCCAAGGGCCCGCCCCACCCCGCTGTTATCGTCTGCGATTAATTCATCTGTGACGTTTGTCTTTGATTTCACTGCATCGTGTCCCAGCTCCGTCCTAACCTTCGCGGTTGTCGTTTGTCGTCGTGCAGTAAATTCAACACCGTCTTCGTTTGACTTCCTGAAACCAGTCTCTTCATTGATGATGTTATTCTATTATGTCGTTAAATTTGGTCGTCGTTCGTTTCCACGATCGCAGACTGGGAAAAACACATCGTTTACTGATGTCAGTAGTGACTTTGTGGGACCGAGGTGGAAGACCCTGTTCACAAAGAACTACAAATATATTAGATATTTATTATTATTATATTCATGTATTTATATATGTAATGAAATATAATTTTACAAAAAAAATTCACTGAACATGAAGTATTTTGAATATATATTTTTTTAATTTTAATTTTTAAGCCGGACAGATTGAACACGCTAGCGGACCATTTTTGGCCTGCAGGCCATATGTTTGACACCCCGTCATCCTTCTCCGACATAGACATATTTCTCAGTACCAGTCGTTCGTTCTTTCTTTCTCATGCGCTAACATACTTCAGGTGCAACACTGCCATCTACTGGGCTGGAGGGTGTGAATCAGATGTGCCTTACACACATCCTGGGATACCTTCAGGTACCTCCAGGGGTACACGCACCCCCA